GTGTGTATCTGCGTGTTAATGTGTATGTGTATATGTGTTATAGAAATCACACAACATGCAAACAGACCCCTGCAAACACAAACATTACAAACACACCAGTTTGCTGAAACACTAATACTACACACAAATGTACATATGTATTTAAAAGACAACACTACATCCAAACACCCCCCTGCATGCAAATACAAACATTACATGCAAACACATTCCTGTATTAAAACGCTAAAATTATATACAAACACCAACTCTACACACAAAAGTACACCTGCATTTAAAAGCCAACACTACAAACAATCACACATCCCTGCATTAAAATGCAAACACTACACACAAGTACACCACTGCATTCCAATGGTAACAGTACATACAAATACACTCCTACATGCACACATAGACTCTATACAATAACATGCTGACATTCATTTGCACAAACACTGCTCAAAAATACAACCCTGCAAGGATGGTAGATCCCCAGCTGGCATAGCATCGCAGGAGTTGTATGACAGATGGGGATCTATCTTTTCTTTACTCTTGTGCTACAGGGCAGGCCTGAATATTTTTTTTGTTGCACCAAGGCACTCTCTACATTAGTTTCGCCTCTAGGTTGGGGTGGAGGCAGGGCCGGATTAACATAGGGGCTGATGGAGCTGCAGCTCCAGGCCCAGGCCCATGGAATAGGCCCATTTAAAAAAAAAAAAAAAAAAAAAATCTTTTTACACACTGGTATTTTAATGGCACAGACGGTATTTGAGGCTGCCTGGCCTTGCCAGTATTGCAGTAATACCAGCAATACAAATGCAGGTATTTTTCTCAGAATAAATGGAAATTACTCTGCAATACCAGCACCGGCCAGTAGGGGTCACTGTGTGTGGAGAGAGGCAGGGATAGGAAGTTACAGAATATCCCTGCCTCTCTCTACTACTCACTGATCCGTGGGGGAGCAGCTACACAGCACAGGGAGTCCAGACAGCAGCTCTACAGCTCAGGTAAGTGAGGGATCGGGGGAAAGGCAGCAGGGACACATGGGGACACTGAGACACTAGGGGACACATTGGGGACACTGAGACACTAGGGGACACATTGGGACACATACACTAGGGGACACTGAGACACTAGGGGACACATGGGGACCCTTAGACACTAGTGAACACAGACACTAGGGGACACATGATGACACATACACTAGGGGACACTGAGACACTAGGACACAGACCCTGGGAACACTGAGACACTTGGGGACACTGAGACACTTGGGGACATATGGGGACACTGTCACTAGGGGACACTGAGACATTAGGACACATGGGGACACAGACACTGGGAGACCTGGGGACACTGAGACACTAGACGCTAGGGGACGCTGAGACGCTAGGGGACGCTGAGACGCTAGGGGACTCTGAGACACATGGGGACGCTGTGAGACATAGGGACATTGGGAGACATTGGGACATGGAGACACTATGTCCCCCAGCCAGTGTCCCTAGTGTATCAGTGTCCCCAAGTCTCCCAGTGTCTGTGTCCCATGTCTCTCAGTGTGCCTAGTGTCCCCATGTGTCCCAGTGTCCCCATGTCAATGTCCACAACTGTCCCCATGTCTCCCCAAGTGTCTGTCTCCCAGTCTCCCAGTGTCCCCTAGTCTCCCAGTGTCCCCTAGTCTCCCAGTGTCTGTGTCCCTAGTGTCTTAGTGTCCCCATGTTTCAGTGTCTCCATGTCTCCCAGTGTGTTCCTAGTGTCTCAGTGTGCCTGGTGTCCCCATGTCTCCCAGTGTCCCTATATGTCCCAGTGTCCACATGTCTATGTCCACAACTGTCCCCATGTCTCCCAGTGTCCCCAAGTGTCTGTCTCCCAGCCAGTGTCTCCCAGTGTCCCCTAGTCTCCCAGTGTCTGTGTTCCCATGT